CAGAGTCCTGGCCTGATGATGTTGATCTTCTGTGCTGGGCCATCCTTTTGGCCAGTGGCTGTTTTGTTTCCCCGATGTAAGACTGATCACAGCCCTCCTGACACTGAACAGCATACACAACATTGCTCTGTTTGTGCCGGGGGACTGGATCTTTGTGATGAACCAGTCTTTGCCGTAATGTATTTTGGGGTTTAAAAGCCACTGGGACGTTATGTTTAGAAAATAAACGTCTCAGTTTCTCTGATACTCCCTCAACATATGGAATGACCACTGGTCTGGGTCTGGGTTCCTCCTTTTCACCTGATGGCTGACTGGAGTCCTGTTTGGGTTTCTTCTCTGCTTTCAGGAAGGCCCAGTTAGGATATCCACATTGCTCTAGAGCCTGTCTTGTGTGGGATTTCTCCTTCTGCCTGGCTCCTGAGCTAGTGGGGACGCTGTCTGCTCTGTGGTACAGAGTCCTGATGACTCCTAACTTGTGCTCCAAAGGGTGATGGGAGTCAAACTGCAAATACTGGTCTGTGTGGGTGGGTTTGTGGTACACCTCAGTTTGCAAATGTCCTCTATCAGAGACTGAGACCTCACAGTCCAAGAAAGCCAACCTGCCATTTTTTACATCTTCTCGTGTGAACTTGATATATTTATCCACAGAGTTGATGTGGTCAGTAAAATGTTGGACTTCCTGAGATTTGATTTTAACCCAGGTGTCGTCAAAATCAATGTCGGGTCTGAACAGTTATAAGAAAAGCATACTACAGTTTTTTTTTTTTTTTTTTTTTTAACAAATAGGATGGCTAAAAGGAAAAGGTAACAAAACTAAAAACAGCTAGATTCTAAGGCGAATGTATAAAACTAAAAACAGGAACATGTCAGCATTGGACCCTGCCAGGAGTCCAACAGATTCTTAAAGACACTTAGAGAGGTCAAAGGTCGAGAGCTTCAAATCTTTTTGTAAGATATTCCAGGAAACAGGAGCGGAATAGGAGAAGGCCCTTTTGTCTAGTTCAGTCCTCACTGAGGGAACACTGCAGGTAATAATGTCCTGAGAGCGCACTCCGTAGCACTCCGTAAATATTAAATCCGTTAGTTGACGCACCTTTATCCAAAATTGATTTAGATAACCAAGTTTCAGAGATAACAATTACATTGGCACCAGTTGAACAAACCCAAATCCACAACATATAAATTTTACAAAATAAGCTATGTGCATTTATGTGCAAAAAATGTAGTCCTGACATGTTTTTAAAGTCTTTAGGTGTGCTGCAATGTGTGGGAGGGTTAGGCTGGATCCCGGACAACAGCAACAACATCACGATTAAACATTTCTTTGTATTTTTTGTAGCAGATGTATATTTACAGGAGTTAATATTGTGGCGCTTGGCCCCCCACAATCAATCTATGCTGAGATGAATTTATAAAAACACAGTTACTTAGAATCCAAAAGCAGTGATGTTTCTTCATTCAACCTTTATTTAAACAGGTAAATCCCATTGAGCCTCATGAAGGCAGGGATGGGCAAACCCAAATGCATTAACAAGATTCAATGGCTCCAAATAGTCAAAATACTGAAAATGATGAAGATGGGGATGAATAAACTTCAGGTCCACAGAACTCTGGACCCCCACATGTGAATAAAGCCAAGGGATTTCAGGCCAGACAACCTTCGGGTTCGAGTGGTCCAGTGGGCCCAGCATGACGGTCCGACTGCACTGCAGTTTGAGGGGGGCTGAAGGAGGCTGCAGCACCATGGAACAGACAACTCGCTCCTGCTGCACTCATGTTGATCAGAAACTGTTTCAGCAGGCAGAGCCAGGCAATCCACATCAAAGTACAGAGCAAGCTGCCAGTGTGTCCATTCATTCTGAAAGGCATGATTCTGGCTCGGTTTGGGTCAATAAAAGTTTTATTCCTGATGATAAAAAACCTGCACTGATTCATTCATTCATTCAACCTTTATTTCTACAGGTTAATCCCATTGAGCCTCTGGGACTCATTTACAAGAGAGACCTGATTTCAACAAAGAATGATGACAACAGTGGGCAACAACGACAACAATAGACAGTCATAAAGGATGCATAAACATTTTTTTATTTTTTTAACAAGTGAAAATAAAATGGTAATTAAAAGGAAAAGTAGCAAAAGTGTAGAAAACTAAAAACAGGAACATGTCTGTGTTGGTTCTTGTCATGAACTGAACAAATGTTTGAAGCCACTTAGAGAGGTCAAAGGTCGAGAGCTTCAGGTCTTTTTACAAGATATTCCAGGAAACAGGAGCGGAGTAGGAGAAGGCCCTTTTGTCTAGTTCAGTCCTCACTGAGGGAACACTGCAGGTAATGATGTCCTGAGAGCGCACGCTGTAGCTGCACTCACGCAGAGACATGTAGGAGGAGATGTATGAAGGCAGCAGACTGGTGAGGCTGATAGAGCCTTCCACGGGTTCAAGATATTTCATTTACCCGTTATTTATCCAGGTAGTCTCATTGAGTCACGAGAACTCATTTTCAAGAGAGCTCTGTTTAGGGAGCAGATGGTGGGGCTTGAGGGCCTTGCTCAGAGTGGGACAAATGGGGGTGGAGGCAGGTGTGGTTGTTTCACCTTTTCCACCCACATTTTGATGTTGACGGTACCAGGAGTTGAACCTGCAACTTTTGGATCACAGGCACATCTTCTAACCTCTGCGCCACCACTTCCCCATTTACGGACCAAGCTTAGTGAAAAGAACAGACATTATAAGCCGGAACAGATCCTCTGGATGACCAGCACCGAACCAATGGTCCTGTTCAAATCCAATAATCCAGATAAGTGCAGATGAACGCAGATGAAGACAATGATCCTTCGAACAGCGCCTTCCCACATGAGAGGCCTTCTCACCAGCGTGCAGAGAACAGACTAACCACTGAGACTGAAAGTAGCCTTGTTCCGATTTTGGTCCGGTTCTGATGGGCTCTTTGCAGCCGTTAAGCATCAAGACGCTTATGGAACAACACAATACACTATAATATCACTAACATTAGAAACATCTGATCTAAAGATGATGCAGAAAAACTGGTCCATGCATTTGTCACGTCTAGACTGGACTATTGCAATGGTTTATTATCTGGGTGTCCAAATACTTCTTTAAAACGTCTTCAGTTGATCCAAAATGCTGCTGCCAGAGTCTTAACTGGAGTTACTGGGAGAGATCAT